GGACACGTTCGGAGGGCTCAAACTCGATACCCCGGAAAAAGCACGAACACGCCGGTGGGAGCGATGTTTTGAAGGGGACGGTCTGTCATGGGGGGGGTGACAATCAATATATATATATATAACATTCCCTAAACCATCAAGAGCGCAATGTCTAGATGAAGATTTGAAGCTCTTCTCCCGTAAGACGAAGTTCACATTGGGGATTACTTTATTGACATTGGTGCATCTGGGTATTTGGTCGTCATATCCACTGTATATCAAAATGTTTTTGGCTTCACTCGTTCGCGTACCCAGCTTCACCATCGGAGTTCACAATGCCGCTCAACAACTGTATCATGTTACATTGGACTGGCTCGTCCTTATCATTCACGTGGGAATCGGAAGAAGACTTCACTGAACTATCATACCGGAATGTTTCGAAAAACAAACCACGCCATGAAATCAACACAGAGTGCAGCTTCAACACAAGACCACCAGGGCGAAGTCCCTGGGACGGTTGCATATGCCTCTGCAGAAGTGCCGAAGCATGTCTATGCTAGTTTGCGCATCAAACATACCAAGCCGATGTTGCTGTTGTTTTGGCTGCCCTGATGTTTCACCTTCAATTCTTGCTCATCGGCATGGTATTTGCTTTAGCCTCTTCAAAACCACACCCTTCCACGCTTGGGAAATTGCTTGCCAATGCCCAGTGGAATAAGTGCAACTCAGCAGAAGCAATGTCAGACTCGGGGAAGCTTGCTGGCGCGATGTCTACGCAAAATGCGTTCAAAACAGCCTGGCAGAATGGCAGGACTGATGTCCTGTACCCTTCGATCCAAACCGGCATAAAACGAGTGAGAACTTTTCTCCGCTTCTGACTGCCGTTGCACTTAGCCAGAGTAGAGACCACGCCTGAGTGACTGCTGCGCGGGAAGGACCAGTGACAGAACTCTCGCTCGCTCTCTGCCTGTCTGTCTAATCAGATATAGACACAGGATTCTGTATCTATGCACTATCTACTATCTGCTTCTCCAGCTCATCTAGCTATGCAGCCGTCTATCCACTCAGAGCTCTCTAGCGATTTCATCTATCCGTTCGGACATCATCTATCCATGCATGCAGCTGTGTACTCGTTTACAAGTTACAAACTGTCATGGATGAATATATTCTTCACATGC